TGGAGGACTGATTCAAATGACATCATCGTGTCTGAAAGTTCTTCAGCTATGTACATTTTAAAAGATTTTTAGTTCATAACATTTTTTTTTTTTGCTTTGACCATTGGCAAACTACTTGGGCTAATATATCTAAAACAGATGTTGGGCAATAATATTGATAACCCACATCCAAGCCTTGGTTTGTATTTCTGTCATTTAGGTCCTATTTATTAGCTCAGGTCTTTATTATTTGCCTTTTGAGATTTAGTGTAATGACGATGATTTAAAATAACTACTTTCTAAATTATTAGGTAGTGTTGTTATACCTTTAGTTCCACTTGATTTAAAAATTCTTTGTACATTAACCTTATTAAATAGTCATGGGGGGGCGGCTGTGGAGCAGGCAAAGCTATTGCATGTGAGTAGGGCATCCCATACGGGCACCTGTTTGTGGCCTGGCTGCTCCACTTTGATCCAGCTCCTGATAATGGGGGACGGAGATGGCCCTAGTGCACCTGTGTCAGAGACCTATATGACACTCCTGACTTTTAACTCTGATCTGGCTCAGGTCTGGCCATGTGGTCACTTCGGGAGTGAGGCAGCAGAAGGAAGATCTCTGTCTCTTCTCTGATTTATAAAGTGCGTAAGAATCAAATTTAATTTTTGTTCTCCAGTCTTGAGGCTTTGATCAGGATTAAATTTTAGGAGAATGCCCTATTTTGCAAATTTTGTTGTGTGCTTAAAATCATGGAACATGCTATGCTTAGTTATTGCGCTCACGTAGAAGACCAGTGTGAGTTGCGTTTGTGGTAAATTGTGGAAAATGTAGAGATGATTGATGAAATGCTGGGCTGAAACAAGTGAATTCCCAGAAAAGGACAAGAATGAGGCCAGTGAAAGCCTCCTGAGGAACAAATAGACACATTCAGATTCCCTTCCCCTTGTGCTAATGTAGTTGATTTAAAAGGAAGTGATTGCCTCATTGAGTTAAGACACTGCGATGATTTGTGCTAACCTGCCTCTGGTGGGCAATTTCATCCCGAGCCATATAGCCCCTAAGGAGCTGCATGGTTGCACGCTGGAGGGTTTCCTGACCAAAGTTCATATACGGTGTAATTTAAATAAAGTCCCTGATTCTATTCTGTGCTGCTCTGAGTTAAATGATAAGATATTCTGAAATGTGAGGCAGGGCAGAAGGAGAATAGATGTATTTCCCCTCTCTCTATTCAGCCAAGAAAAGAAAAAAATAATGGAAACGCATGAGCTTCTGTTGGTTGCAAGCATTAAAGGGTTAAGAAAACAAAAAGAAAGTATGAAGGAAGTTGGAAGCAAAAGTAGAGCATCAAGGGCATTTGACAGGACCGAATCGCTCGTCTGCTCATGTAGGTGTCATGTCTGATTACAGCAATGTAGACCGTGTTTCAAAATGTGTGTGTGTGTGTGTGTGTGTGTGTGTGTGTGTGTGTGTGCGCATGTGGCTACCGTGTCATTCATCAGGATGTCATCAGCAGTTAAATACCAGCCATATTAAGACCCGTTGCATTTGTATTGCTAACTGCCCTACTTTGAATTTCTCTGTGGGTCTGTTAATTTTCCTTTGAGATGATTTTAGATATATCCAAAAGCATAGTATGAATGATTAAGACACTTTTAGGAATTTATCCCATTATCAGGCTAGCTTCTGGTAATATATACCTTGTCCTAAAACCACCCATTTTTATTAAACCCTAATATCACTCTGAAATGTGAGCAAAGTGAGTGAGCGTTAAGGCAGGGGCCACCGTTGTCCTGATTTGTAACAGATTCTGTGTGCTTAACCATCTCAACTCTGCCTGCCATGTCTGCAGGACTAGAGTCTTAGGGCAAGGTACGCCAGTAGGCAGGAATAAGGATTTCAATACTTGACAATGAGTGCTTTTCAACTTGCAGGCTGAGAGAGCAAGCGATTGGAAAAATAAATAATAGATGATGGTGATTCCTTTATAATTCCGCTATCTCAATTATCTCAAGAGAACAGTGTTTTATTGCTGCGTGACATTCACTATTTGAAATAAAAGAAGCGACTCTCCTGCCTTGGTAGGGCAAGAGTCATCATAGTTTGGAGCTGTTTTCCTTACACTACTTGTCATCCTATAATCAACTGTGAAATGTATACATATAGCACATTTATTTTTTCACTGACAGAATGTAAGCTCCTTGGGAGTAGTTTTTTTTTGAATATTTGGTTTTACTGATATGGTCACATAATTAGGAAATCCATATGTAGTGACTGAGTGAAAAACATAGATGTTACAGAGGAAAAGGAGCAGATAGGAATAAAAGGTGATGAGGTCTGAACTGGTAATGATTACTTTTTCAGTCTGGCAAGTGGAAATATGTGGGCATCACGGCAGGTTTTCATGGGAGACTGATGAATGAATTCATAGTGTGAGCGCTGCTGGGCGCCATTTTCTTTGTTGGCATTGAATCTGCTGCAGTGATCGGAGAAGCGACTCTGCCCTCACAGGGCTTCTGTTTCTGTGGAGGAAGCAGAAAACAGAGATGTAATACCACACATGCAAAATAGCAGTCCGATAAAGTAACAGTATGTAGAGAATTCATGCATATTATAAAGCTACATAAAATGCATACATCTGTAGCATAATACAGAACTTGGGGATTTTTAAAGACAACCAGAACTGAAACTGTGAGAAATGGCTTCTTTGGGCCTGATGTCTGAAAATCTTCCCAATAAAATGCTCTGGGCGGTGTCTCAGGATGGGAAATTCAAAATGAATCACTCCGGCAGTGGCATCGATCCCGCACACGTGTTCACCCACCCACATGGTTGTGTGCAGGGAGCAATTTGTACTGACCTCCAGGGCGCCCTTCTCCCAGCGGTGTGCAAAGGCACCAGGCTGCCGAGCGAGACCGAGCAGGCCGGGAGGTTTCTGATTTGTATGCTGCTGGGCAAGACCCAGCATCTCAACTGAGAACAAATCAAATGGTTTGAGAACCTATAAACACATGTGCTTTCCGAAAGTTTTGGTTAAATAAAATGATTTGAACTTGATTCCGTTTCCAAGGTTTTGGTGGATACGTGCACTAAGCAGCTATTTCAGGAAATGAACAATTATTTTGAAGGCTTATTTTACTTATTTGAAAGGCAAATTTACAGCAAGAAAGGGAGAGACAGGAATAATAAATATCTTCTGTCCACTGGTTCATTTCCCAAGAGGATCAGGTCAGGGGTCAGGAACCTCTGCCGGGTCTCCCATGTGGTGGGTGCAGGGACCCAGGCACTCAGGCGTTCTTTTATCATCATGTTAGATGTATCAGCAAGAAATTGGATCCAGTTCTGGGATTCACAGGTGGCTTTACTTGTTGTGTCACAATGCTGGCCCTACCTATGTGAGCTTTGCCGCAGTTTGGAGAATCACGCAGTAAGTAGGTACCGGTAACTGATGACTTGCGGAGGACAACATGAAAAGGAATAAGCTACTGTCTGCCTTAAAAGAGGTGAATTGTTTTGCTCACAAAGGGAAGAGTGTAGGCAGAGTGTCACAATGCTGTGTGTTTGGTAGAGGAAACCCAAAACACTCCATTACAGTGAATGAAGCAGAAAGGTTACCCGAGTTAAAGCACATAAGACTTTGATTACCTGCTGCCAGGATTCATAGCATCCCAGTGGTTGTTGACAGATAAAGTAACAAAAATGAAACTCATTTAGGTTTTTCTTTATTGAGGCTGCCAGGTAAAGCGGATTTTCAGTTCTTGTACTTGCTGTGTTGACAGAATGGAGACTGACAGCAAAAATGTGCCAATCCAGAAATAGAAATTAAACCAGGTTCACATCAAAATTTCATTTAGGCTTAGAAAAGGAGCTGCTGTTTGGATTACTTTTGATCCCAAGCAAATACACAGTGGAGGATTTCAGCATACCTGGCGTCTGTTAACCCTTCCCTGTTGGCTGTGCTTTCAAAGTTGCTGCTCTATGTTGTGCTTGATTTATCTATCATCTATCTATCTATCTACCTACCTATCTATCTATCTATCTATCTATCTATCTATCTATCTATCTATCTATCATCTCTCTATCTTATTTAATTTTGTAGTATTTGAGGCAACTTAGTTTATTATTAGACTGGGTTCCATTTCGCTGAAATCAAATTGTGGACAACAGATGCATACGTATCAGACTGCAGGAACTTCCAAATCAGATTTGGAAAATTGATAGCAGATTTTTTCTCTCTCTCTCTCTCTCATAGAGTCATACCCAAGGCTACACTTTGGCTATCAAAATGAGGACAGAATAGATGAAAACTGGGAAGTGAGTGATTTTGATTTGTGATGTTGAGATTTTTGCTTGCGTTAAGTAAAATTTCTGGGTTGGTAATCTGCGTCTTCCATTTCTGCTGCTTACGTTGATTGTAAAAAGATGCGTGAGCAGCACAAGCTCTCAGTCCTTTCTCCCCTCTTCTCTCCCTTACTCTACTCCTCTCTCTCCCTTCCATTCTTTTCTTCCTTTCCTTCTCTCCTTCCTTCCCTCCCTCTCTCCTCCCTCTTTACACCCTTCCTTCTTTTGTTTTTATGTTCCTTTTGGTTCACCTGAAAGGTAAGTTTCTACAGAAATTCTAAACCCAACAGCATGACTCACTTAATCAAGTACAGAGTAAATAGCATTGCCAGTGAATTCAGCACGTCATCAGAGCCCAATGAGGTTTGTTTTTTGAGTGTATCCTAAAAATAGTTTGGCTAAGGTTTTTTTTTTTTTTTGGTGATTATGCTAAAGTCTGCATTTGATAATTTTCTCATTAACTTTTCAGCAACAGAACGATAGCGTGAACTTGTTTCTTAAATGACCTTTTCTGACCTTTTGCAAGATGATAATTACAAAAAGGGAGGTCTGGAAGACTCGCGAAGAATTTTAAGCTTATAAAGTAGCTGAAATGGTCCTCCGTGCCGGTGTCGATTTCAAAATTAACATTTTGGTTCATGTGCCTCTAATAATCAGTGACCCTTACCTCGTGTACTTTGCACAGGAAATGAATACAGCAGAAATTACTTTGACCCACTGATGGATGAGGAAATAAACCCAAGGCAGTGTGGGATGGAGGTCAGCAGAGAGGGTGAGCTAGAATTAAGTATGTAATTTTTGTGTCAGAATATTCTTCTCCATTCATGAAAATGAGGTGACAAAGATCACACACGCAGTTCCACTTAGGTTTTTGCAGCTTACATTCTAAATGGTAAGTTGTTCCCACTAACAACATGATGGGCAGTGAAGGTAATTTTTGAGCAAGGACAGCGAGCTGCTCAGATGAAAGAAACGGACTCTGCTTTCATCCGAGGCTACTGTCAGCAGTTGGGTGCTGGGATAAGGTTTGGGTTGCACAGTGGCAGGGCGTTGTCGCTTCTCCACCCTTCACGTTTAAAACAAACTTTCCCCAATGTGTCTGGCGTGTGAGAGTTCACACACTGTGACTGCTGAGTTCCTTGCCTTGAACGTGCAAAATGACCAGCTGAATTCCGACCATGAAAATACAGGGAGATGATAGCAGTACTCTCTTCTAAATTTTCAACCGACTGGCACTTGCAAGATAAACAATTCATAATCGCCTGTCAGGTGCACAGCACAATGTCTGTTTCACAGTTGAGGAAACACTGTGTTCACACAGGTTGCTCATGGGTCCCCGACAATAACAGCTGCTCCTCAGAATTAACTGCAATCTCAAGGGATAGATCCCACACTGAGTGCCAGTCATTGGAATCGTTTGAGCTTCAGAGTTTTGGATGAGGAATGGTCAGCCTGAATTTATGGTCACTAGCCTCATGCTTAGTCAGCAATCTTTTTCCAGCTCCTGGGATCAGCGTGGAGCACAGATGTAGAGTAGGCAGCTCTTTCTCCACGTGTGTCCACAGTCTGGTCTGTATTTCTGGGTGCCAAGAGCCAGGGGTGCTGGTCTTCGATGAGCGGAGGGTCTATCTCATGCTTCCTTGCTCCTTTTCCTGTGTCTGTAGTAGGATTTCCACCTCTTCTCTCCTTCCCATTTCTGTGCCGTGCTTCCTTTTCTTCAACGTTTTCCCTTTTTTGTTTGCTCAGGTTTTTCTTTTCCTGTGTGGTTTCTTTTGCATTCTTTACAGAAGTTTTTCTATCCCTTGCTGTTGGATGGATCGAAGGTTTTTGTCTTCTTTTTCTCTAACCTATTTGGTTTCCCCCTGTGATTTAGGAACACAAGAATGAACAGAAAGTGTTTCTCTAGCCTCCCACATTCTGAGTTAGACTTTGGACTCGTGGGGTATTGGCAGTTCACGAAAGAGGGGCTTGTGGGCCAATGCGACTACTTCTATACCCACTTCCATGGTGTTTTTATAAATGGTAGTGTTAAGTGGACATCCTTAATACTTAAAACCCTCCAATGCATCTGTATCAAGAAGAAAGAACTAACATTCTTATTGTTGAACCCAAGTGGGAAGGGGTTGTGTTTATTTGCTGTTATCTGTCAGGACTTCACATCTAGTGCATGACATATGTTCAAATGAAAATGAATTAATAATAAACAATCTTGTACCCTCACGTTAGTCCTTAGCCTTAACATGTCAAGATGCCTCATCTTGATTAAAATGATTTTCTTTGTAAGAGAGGCTGCATTTGGCTGCCTCATAGTTTGTAATGACTAAATTTTTTTCTGGAATCACAATCTGACATTTCATAAGCTTCCATCAGGACAAACTGAGCTATTAGTTTGTCCGATATACACTATTTTTTGGGAAGTTTATTTAAGCAGCTATTTTAAAACATGTATTAATATTTACACTAATAACTACATAAATAATATATGGTGTATTAAATACTACCTTTTGAAGAAGTATAAGCATTTTCAGTCACTTTGGGTCTCTTCAGTTCATGGCTTCCTTTGGAAAATTCACTCACTCAGCATGAGATGCGGCCGTTAATCATAGGTCTTTCATTTCCCAGTGTTCAAGTTCAGTCTCATTGTCAAAATGCTAGAAAAAAACTAAAGCATCCAATTATTATGAACCACTACAAGTTTATAATGGAGGAAATGGGAAGGAAAATGGAAAACATAGGTAGACGTAGGCGTGGGGCAAGCAAGCTCAACTGAGCACCCCCCACTCGAGGGTTCTGTGTCTCAAGTCGATCATTCGCGATATTTCTTTCTCTTTTTGCTAGTTTCCAGGCATTCCCAATTACTCCCACCAGATATTGGATAAAGTAAGTTATCTTCCCACAACTTCCATGGCCCTGAATGAACACTTATCCAAGAAAACATGCGTCCATACTGCTAGATGCACCCTGAAGGTGGGGCCTGGAGAGCCAAAATGCAGTACACAGCCCTTTGTGGGGCCTTGCACATTTTGGGGCATGCTCCGGAGGTCTGTTTGCTATCCTTTCTCCTCACTCCAGCTCACTTCTGTTTTAATATCTATCTATCTATATTTTTTACTCCACTGCTGCCATGCAGCTTACAATATAGCTATAAATGCACACAGCTCTGGAGTGGTCCAAGCTGATGGCGAAGTTGAGACCACCAGCAAAAGAAAGAAAGTAATGTTATAAGGCATAGAGGGCCCATTGAATCACTGAGCTTCCTGGAAGGCAAGGCATAAAGGGAAATACAGTAGACAGGCCATTTTCAGAGTCTAATAGAAATTATACTTTCTGTTGGTATTCATAAAGCCTCACCCCATACTTTATTTTTTTTACCCTGTATTCTGGAACAGAAATGACATAGCAGAAGCTTTGAAAATATTGAACAGTTCTTTTACCGATAGCTCCTGGTGTGTACTGTTCATTGAGTGTAGAATTCCTTTTTCAGCACTGCTACCAAGTACACCTGCAATATTTGTTATCTTATAGATGGCCTGAAATATGCAACGTTGTTAGCTTGTGGATTTGTCAAAGTTCTCCAAGGAGGCACAACCAATAAGATCCTTCTGTGACAACTCCACATTACACACATATCATGTCTTATGTATATGTGTGAAAGAGAGACATTTTAGCTAACTGTCTTACTCAGTTTTGGGGACTGACCGTGCTACGTATTCTTTGCAGGGCAGGTGAGAATGCAGGAAATCCAGATGAATTTGAAGTAAGAATTGATGGACTGATCTTGATCTTGAATTCTGCAAGGCAGCAGAGTCACGGGCAGTAGTGAGGCTACTTCTTTGTTGGAGAATGTTTAGTGCTTACTGATTGTGAGAGGCCCCCTGTAATACAGAAGGCAATCTACTTTATCTCAAATCCACAAGTAAATATTAAATTTGGCTTTTTGAATGTTGCTATTATCAGAAAGATATCTTCACAGTTATCAGACCAATGCTTGATGATATACCTGGGAACGGTAGCCAGGCTGGCTTGACGTGAAACATGAAATATTCCAGGCTGTACTTAATAATAGTTTATTCCACCTGGCCTGGGTGAATGATCTGCCTAATGTGCTGCTGGATCCTGTTGGCTAGTATTTTGATGAGGATCTTTGTGTCTATGTTCATCAATGATATCGGTCTGTAGTTCTCTTTTTCTGTTGTTTTTCTATCTGGCTTTGGTATTAAGATGATATTGGCTTCATAGAAAGAGCTTGGAAGAATTGTCTTCCTTTCTATTGTTTGGAAAGGCTTGTGTAGGATTGAGGATTGAAACATTTGATAGAATTCAGCAGTGACAGCATCAGGTATATGACTTTTCTTGGTTGGGAGGGCTGTACTTACAATTCAATCTGAGTCCATGTTATATGTCTATTTAGATGATTAATTGCTTCTTGATTCTATTTGGTGGATTGTATGTGTCCAAAAATTATATTCATCTTTTCTAGGTCTTCTGATCTGTTTGCATACAGTTGCTTGTAATAGTTCCTAAAAATTCTCTGTGTGTCCGAGGTATCTGTTGTTATATCTCCTTTCTCACCGCTGATGTTATTGATGCGTATCTTCTCCCTACATCTTTTGTTGTGTTAGTGGGGAGTCTATTTTGTTGGTTTTCTCAAAGAACCTGCTCCTTGATTCACTGATACTATTATAGTTCTTTTGGTCTCTATCTGGTGTATTTCCTTCTTTATTTTGGTTATTTATTTTTTTCCTACTAATCTTGGGATTGTTTTGTTGTTGTTTTTCCAGTTCTTTAAACTGTAAGGTTAACTCATTTACTTGATGCACTTCTAGTTTCTCAACATAAGCATTGATTAAAATGAACTTTCCTCTTACTACTGTCTTGACTGTGTCCCATAAGTTTTGGTATGTTGTATTGATGCCGTCCTTTGTTTCACGCAATTTTTAAATTTCCCCTTTGGTTTCCTCTCTAACTCATTGCTCATTTATTAACATATTATTCAGTTTCCATGTGTTTGCAAGTCTTCCTGGGTGACTTCTTGGTCTCTAGCTTCACTCCATGGTGGTTTGAGAAAATGCATGGTGTAATTGCAATTTTTTTTTTAATTTGCAGAGCCTTTTTTTAATGGCCTATGACATGTTCAGTTCTGGAGAAGGTTCCATGTACTCCGTGGAGTATTACTCAGCCATTAAAAAGATGAAAATTAAACCACTTGCAAATAGATGGTCCCAACTATAGACTATTATGCTCAGGGAAATAAGTCAATCTCCATGGTACAAATGCCTTATGTTCTTTCTGATATAAGGCAGTCTTGACACAAATTGTCAATAAACAGTTCCATACTATTTTTGCTGCATCCTGTGTGTTTTGATGTTTTTGATTTCATTTTCACTTCTTCCAAATAGTTTATTTTCTCTTGTCAAATTTATTGCTGGCTTACGGATTGCATGATGGCATCATTTTACCCAAGAAGTTTTCGTGTTTTCTTTTCATCACCCATGCATTGGTTCAGTGCTGTGCTTTATCGACTCCATGGTGCTGTAATTTTGTTGTTGTTGTGGCTGTTTTAACTTCATGCCTGTTGTTGATGTTATTTCTTGGCTTCTCATTTAAGGACATATGGTAGAGACTACCAAATCCCAATGTGAAGATACAATGCAATGTGCATCCCTACTTCCAAATCAATGATGGACTCCCAACGAAACTGTTGGACATATCTAGACAATGGGATGCCAGACTGTCCGATATTGTCTGTACCAGCAATGTCAGGACACACTTAAATAGCAGACTGATGGACTTGATGCCTTCTTATGAAGGACTATACTATTGTAAAAATATGAGGAAAATCAGTCAGAGGGTGGGAATTTGGTGGGGAGAAGGGAGGGGAAATCCCAGACCCTACGGCATTGTAGCATAAAATTCAAAATAAAAATTAAAAAATAATATTCATCCATTCACAATATGAGGAAGTTTCAGAGTTAATGTAAATAAAACTAAAAGAGCATCTATTTATTGAAATCCATGCATATATTTTTTACAATATGCATTCCATGTACTTTCTGAAGACCTTGTGTATAAACAAACTTTAAAAACTAAAACCAATGTTATTAATGATTGTATATATCTATTGGCCACCGTGTGAAATTTTATGATTTCATCAGAGGCATTGGACTGTAAGTATCCTTAGGAACTGACAGTCTTGGCTTAGTAGATGATGTTCCATACATACTTGCTGTCATGTCACATAATTAACAAGATGCATCCAATCCCACACTGTGGCCTTTTAACAGCTCCACCAACCCCATCCAATCTCCAGCAAACGCTGGCTTCTGCCTGGGATTGCTGACTTGCTTGGTTCTCACACAGGCCCATTTCTTTCGCTGGTTTCTCCACACATCATCAGGAGTGTGTCTTCAAAATCCAAGCAAGTATTGTCCCTTCCATACAAAAGCCTTTGCATTGCTGCCGTTGCTTTCAGAGGAGAGAGCATGCGTTGTTTAATGAGAGGAAGCTTCGTGAGAGAAGTGCCAGGCAATTTTGTCATCGTGTGAACATCATAGTGTGTGTTCACACAAGTCTAGCTAGTATGGCTTGTGATGTACTTAGACTGTAAGACCTCCGTGTGTGTACGCACTGCCTGTCACTGAGCTAAATGTTGGTATGTGGCGAGTGACTTCGTTTTCCTACCTTAACTCAGGCTCATCTGCACATGGAGACAAGCAAAGATCATGTCTGCATTGTTCACCAATGCATTTTTTTATTTGTTCTTTGAGCCTAGTCCAGCAGTTGCTATATAATGAATGTCAACAAATATTTATTGACTTCAGTAATAATAAATCCATAAATGTGTTGGTCAGATATTTGCAGATATCAGTGGTCGTTATTTACTGACAGTCCAAGTAATGCAAAACTTTCCAGGTTCGACATAATCATTTCCACTTGAATGTTTGAGAGGGAGAGAATATCACATATGGGATATTTTGGGAGCTTCACTCCCAAAATGCCTGCAACAGCCAGGAACAGGTTAGGTTTGAGCCAGGAAGCAGCGGTGTTATGGTCTCACATGTGGGTGGTCAGGACCTAAGTCCTCGAGGCATCACCAGCTGCCTCCTGGGGGTTTACATCGACAGGAAGCTCCAAGAATGGTGCCTGGAGACACAGCTTGACACTTGGTGTGTGGCAAGGGCTTCCCAGTAGTGCTTTAATGGTTAAACAGAATCCCCGCCCCTCAACCCCATTTTGATGACGATGAAATGGGTTTCCACTTGTTCAGCTCTTAAGATCACGGAGAGCCGGTAAGTGTTTGGCACTGTGTTCTATCTCTCCCCTCAGGAATCATGTTGGACATGTTGACTTCCTCCACTCTTTCCTTTGAGGAGAGAACTTCTGCAAGGGAAGAAGCAGTTGACTCAGTTTGATTTGAATCCAAAGGGGAAACTGTCTTGTCTGTTTGACCCTCCAAGATTTAGCTGCACGCTAGGTCTGCCTACTCAAGGAACAAGTCTCCACAGCAGCCAGCAACCCTTAGGTCCCTTCACTCAGGTTTCTCTTTGACAATACTAGAAAAGGTTTTTAGTAACTCCTCACTGCATGGTAAAAGCAAAAAAATCTCAGTTCAGATTGTCATAATTTAAGTTGAGAAATTATGCATCGTATAGAATTGCTGAGTTGTTAAGAACAAGCAAGCAAGCCAATGGAGACGGCAACCTTTTGTGCCAGGCATGATCTTAGGTGCTCTGTGCACGCTTTCTTGCTTAAGCTCACATCCATTCTATTTCATGGACAAGGAGATAAGAACTTCGTATCCCCAAGCAACAACTTATAAACAAGTTTGAGACAGTAATAAACTGTGACGCTTCATGGATGAAAGTATGGTCTTCACTGAACGTGAAGCCTGCTGCCTGTCTTCTCAGAAGGGGGGCTACATATCCTCTGCACTGAGTCTTTCACTATTTCTGCAGAAAATCCCCCTTCCAATCAACTGACGTTGCTTTCTCTCAAATGTTATGAGCTGTGTGTAAGCTAGGTGAATTTTTAGCTGTCCCACTAAGAGTAAAGGGCTATGCAAAGCTGAAAAAAAATGTGCTTCTGTATGGCATGATCTTCAACATGTGTTCTGGGAGTAGCCCTCCCCCTGCCCTGCATGCAAAGGTGGGAGATCTGGGCATTTGGCAGACAGAGCATGGTGAGTCAAGTGCTACTTAAAAAGTCATCTGACATGAGTAATGGGCAGAACCACCCACTTCATAGACTTTTTCTTTTCTTGGTATGTTTGCTTCCCTTTATCTTAAATCCCTCAAGGAGGGAAATTACATTTTTGTGCTTTCAGTGTTTAAATTCATAGACTTTTTAAGCCAAACAATCAAATACCCTGTTTTCCCCAGAAGCCTACCATTTGCTGTTTAGTCACTCTGAGACTGGGAGTATTTTACTAGATCAGCTTTTCCTTTTCCCCCAACACTAGTGTTCAAGGGAAGCCAGGTATGGTCAGAGGAGATTTAAAAGTTTCAAACACTTTTAACTTGGATAATGTAGATCTCAAAGGCTTTTCTGGAATCCTTGGTGGAGTTCAGTAGTTGGCCCAACGAAAACATGCAATGCAATGAGAAATGGAGATACAAGGATCAAATTAAAACCAGCGTAACAAAAGTGTAAGCACAGTTTATTTAGTTTCCTTCTATGGGAAAGTTGTTTAATATATTGATGTGTTAATATATTGACTAGAGTCAGCATCCGAGTTGATACTGTATATGTATGATAGAATCATACATGTATTTGCTGGGCTTTTAAACTCTCTTCCAGAACCACATTTTTAAAGATTTATTTATTCTTATTGCAAAGTCAGATATATATAGTGAAGAGGAGAGACAGAGAGGAAGATCTTCCGTCCGATGAATCACTTCCCAAGTGACCAAACGGCCTGTGCTGAGCCCAAGTGAAGCCAGGAGCCAGGAGCCAGGAGCCAGGAGCCAGGAGCCAGGAGCTCTTCTGGGTCTCCCATGCGAGTGTAGGGTCCCAAGGCTTTGGGTTGTACTTGACTGCTTTCCCAGGCCACAATAGGGAGCTGGATGGGAAGTGGTGCTGCCGGGATTAGAATCGGTGCCTTATGGGATCCTGGCACAATCAAGGTGAGGACTTTAGAGGCTGGGCCACTGTGCTGGGCTCCCAGAACCATGTTTTTATGTTTTATTATTCGTTTTGGAGAAGAGACAGATGATGATGTTGTCTTGTTACTTTCACGAAAGAGTTAAAAAAAAACAACCTTTGGACTGGATATTATATTACAATAGCAAACCTAAAAGAATCCAGGACCACCTAAGTTTGTTGTTTCTTACATAAAGGCAATACAAAAAATATGATATATAGAGAGGAGCTAATGGAAAGCACTCATTCATTTTGATCCAACACTTACATACTCTATTGTGTATTTGACAAATCATAATGGCTTGGCCTGAAATTATTCTTCAGTAATAGATGTCACAATCAATTGAATGTGAAATCTTTTTCACTGGAGAAGTATCCTATTATGCAAGTCTTGCAATATACATTAAAAAAACCATTATTCCAAGTATCATTGATTTATAATTTTTCTTCAGAGCAAGGAATCATGATGGGTAGAAGTTGTACCTATGACCCATAATATTATGAAATAGCCATTAGGACTAGTAATTTCTCTTTGTAATTACATTTGCATATCTATAAATTGGCTGATGAGAAATTTATCATACATATGTTCTGTTAATATCTCTACAAGGTGATGACGCAATTCTCTATAATCGATTAATGAAGCTGTTTGATGGGAACGAACGAGGAGAGCCCCAAGGTAAGAGAGAGATTGTTTTTAATCTTTTATATTGGCATTGGGTGTGATTTGATTGATACTTTTTTTTTTTTGGTAAAAACTAACTTGTCTTTTCTAATTATAACCATTCATGGATGCTCTGTGTGTGCTTTCAATGGTTGCAAATATTTAAATGTAGCTAAAGTTTTGGGGAAAAGTAATTATGTCCCAATTTCTTATAATTGCATACCATTTATAACCCAAAATGACAAAAATTATTTAAGGCTTACTACCGCAGACTCCTGTGATGACGTATAGCAGATTTGATTTTCTTAATATGTAAAGTAAAATGTTACTGTTTTGAAAGATTGTGTATAGTTTTTAGACAGATTCCTTGGGGACATTGGAAGAGACTGTCTTGTTCTCAACTTAAGTCTGAGACTTCTCCTTAAGTAAGAAATTATTATGTGTATTACAGTAAGAATTTAATAATAATCTTTTAAAACTAGCTTCTAAATCCTGTGTTGAACATGTATAAATGTAAGCCAGAAACATGTGATTTTTACCAAAGCATTAGGTGTAGGTTGTAATATGCACAAGTGTTGAAGTTCATACAAAATGATTGCATCTTTTTTCCCATAATATACACTTAGTTTTTCTTTGTCATCTTATCTTCCTTATTAAACTAACTTCTTAAAGTGCTTAAAATGCCTGATCGTGTGGAGTATTCTAATGGTTAGTCACTGTTTTTTGTTGAATATAGTTGAATTCTGTTCATTTTTCATGAACTTTTTGAGTATCCATCATGTACATAGATTTGAAATTTTTTTGCACCAAAATAAATGCATCTTTCAATCCTATTTCAACCAACTTTTTTAAAAAAGTTAATCTTTCAAAAATAATTTTTTTCATGGCTTGGATGTTGTGGAATGGCAGGTTGAGCCATTGCTTGCGGTGCCTAAGTTCCATATTGGAGTGCTTGTTTGAGTCCCAGCTACTACACTTCTGATCCGGCTGCTTGGTAATTCATCTTGGAATTATGATAACCCCAAATTTTGGCTCCTGTCATCCACTGGGGGATCAGATGGAGTTCTCAATCTCTGGTTTTTGCTTGGTTCTTTTTTTTTTTTTGCTATTGTGGTCATTTAGGGTGTGAGACAGTAGGTTGAAGGTTCGTTCTTTCTCATCTAAGTTTCATTCTCTTTTTGCCAGGTAGATGAAAAGAAGGAAGTAAGATTTAAAGTTTTTTTTTTTTTAATTTTGTTGTAAAGACACAAGCACGCACATACAGAGAGAAGGAGAAAAAGAGAGAATGAGAGAGTAAATAAGAGAGAGAGAGAAAGAAAGAATCTTCATTCTGATGGTTGACTCCCCAAATTTCCACAGCAGCTAAGGCTATGGAAGGCCAAATCCAGAAGCCCAGGACTAGCTGGGTCTTCCAGTGTGGGTGTTAAGGATCCAAGGACTTGAGCCATCACCTACTACTTCAGAAGTGGAAGTGCAACTTTGTACTAGGCACTCTGATATGGAGCAGGAGTACCCCAGGTAGGGAGTTAAGCCATCGCATCCAAGGCTCACCCCCTATTAACTGAGGTATACTTGCAAATGCAAAAAAAAAAAAATGTGCTAGTCATTGTATAGTGCATTTTTATGCCCAATTTTTTTATATCCTATTTTGGACAAACTGTTCAACTTGGATTGTTTAAAATCAATCACTCAAGTCATGCATCTATAGATTATACCTAATAGACTTTTTATAGTATTTCACAAAATTACATAAGTCTTGTAAAATTTATGAAATAATCTCTTTATGAACTGCTTTGTATTTAATATTACAGGCTTGATTCCCTATGAAGCTGTTAAGTATATCTCGAAAATAGAATGCTGGGCTTTTTACCATTGTCTAGACTTACAATGCCACGATACACTAGATAGTAGAATGATGGGCGTGGGACTGTACTATTGTAATAATATGGGCGAAAACAGGGGAGAGTGGGAGTGTGGAAGGAGAAATCTCTGTGCCTATGAAACAGTATCGTGAAAATAAAAATAAAAAAATTATAAATGCTTTTAAAAGGCAAAAAGAAACAAGCAAAACAACAACAACAACAAAGATTTATGTAAAAACATCACAGTGTATCCAAGAGCAGGGAAAGTGGGCAGCTACATTCTGGGCACCCACTGTGTTTCCAGTTCCCTAGCTTGCTTTCCTTCTGCAAAAAGAACTGTATGGCATTAGTTCTTGTTAACATTTTAGCACCGAGGACAGGCGTAAACCTGTATTACAAACTTCAGAATTTTTTTAGAGATTCTAAAAAATGGGAAATGGGAGGATTGTTTAATACTTGCAACACACATCTGGCTAGCTAAATAATAACATTTTATAGATGATATTGTTTTCAGATGGTAGAGAGAGACAAAACAAGAACACACCACCCATTCATATCAATGGTGGCATTTCTAGGCAAATGCACAAGACAGTCGGTCCAAGCACGGACCCCTCCGTCTGTGTCTAGAGGTTGACGATTGTTGGCGAGGATCCTAACCTGGGAAAGCGAATCAAAGAACTCTGACTTAATTCTGAACCTATTCACTTCCCAATCTGGTTCCACCAACACAGCAAAGGAGTGGTAAATTGTTGATGGATACAACACATGCTGTTGACAACAGAAAAAGTACATCATCTATATTTCAGGGTATATATAGTAAGTGTGATAAAGACTTTTATCAAATGCTATGCTTTGTTCACTTGGACATTATGGTAGAATGAACACAGGTGTTATTGTTCTTTGTTCATTTTTCTGGGTTTTAGCAATTTTGTATGCATTAAAAAGAATGTTGCTTGCTAGATTAGATGACCAAAATCGAGACCTAATCCTCTAAATGGATAAAGATGTTTACTCCTCAGAGTGCTCCACCAACTTTAAAGTGAAGGAGGCACGTGTAAATCCATGGGATCTTTTTGTGATGAACAGGTGGGAGCATCAAGGAGGACATGTTGGATTCTGAAGCCCTCCAGAGTTCCAAGGGAACTGAAACCTCCAAAGAGGACAATGAAGCCATTACTGCTGACATTGAGGAGTTGGAAAAACATGCTCAGAAAGAGGCAGTTCTGCTTGGGAGTTCGCCATTCCAGCAGGTCAGCATCAACAATGTACCCCAAAGTGAGGTTACCTCTCTTTTTATGATATTGCAGGTGAAATGCCAATCCTGTGCACTGTCTACTCATTTTACTTCGTACCCTCTTCTTGCTTTCAACACACCCTGTATGAATTCAAGGAGGCTTTCCCCTTCCTTTTGGAACAGGTTGTACTCCTTACCTAAGTCTGAGAGGGGGTAATATTTGGTCTAGTGGTTAAGCTGCCAGTTAAAATGTTTGTACTTACATTGAATTATGTAAGGAATGGCTCCTGCCTCTAGCTCCCTGTCGCTGCAGACCCTGAAGGCAGTGGTGATGGCTCAAGCGATTGGGTGCCTACAATGCATGTGGGAGACCCGTACTGAGGTCCAACTGCTGGTTTTGCTTCTGGCTTAGTTCAGGCTGTTGAAGTCTCCTGGGCAGTAAAGCAGCAAATGTAGTGTTTCTTTATGTATGTCTTGGTTTCTCTCTCTCTGCCTTTCCAAGATATCTGTCTTAGTCTTGCACAATCCACTTTCACTTCAATTGAACTTACTTCATTTTTGTTGCTTATTACAAATTATCTGTAAGAAATCCTAAAACCAGTATGAAATGACTTCAAGTTCAGAGGATGAGTTGCATCTATTTCCACAAAGCATGTGCGTAGTAACAAGCGCCTCTGAGTGATGAAAATGTAGGCTGAGAAATGTGTCCTTCGGTGATTTCATCAGTATGCAAATACCACAGAGTGTACATACACGAACCACAATGTCACTGATGTCAGCCCGAGATACGATCTTATGGGGCAGGATAGTCTGTCATTACCAAAACATTGCGTGGCACGTGACTATGTGAAGTCACCATTCAAATACTTTATGTTGGACATTCTTTTTTCTCACTTTGTGCCACAAATGAGAGTCATTAGAACACAAATTCTTCTGACTTCAGAAACACGTGCGTGCTTTCTATGTCAATAGTTCCCAATTATGTACAGTACTCAAGCGACGTTGTAGATTTTCATACACCAAACAAAAGGAAATTGTCTCTTCTATATAGTCACTTTGTCTCCAAAATGAAGAAGAATTTCATATGCTTATCTTTGTAGGAATGTGTGTGTGTGTGAGAGAGAGAGAGTGTGTGTGTGTGTGTGTTGTATTTGCTAAAGACAAACTGATTCAGGCCAAAGCGGAAAAATTTCATAAGATGAAAAAGACAGCGGTATTTTTACAACAACAGTCATGAATGGAAATGATAACTTTTAGCTTCAGAAACGGGCAGAATGCTAGCGGGGTGGGATAAATAGAATTTTGTAATCAGGGTTGTGGAAATTCCGTAGCCAGCCTTTAATATCTTCCTTTGTGCCACTTAGATCTGAATATTCTGAGCACATTAAGGTTGTGTCTATTTTGAGCTTTCTCAAATAAGTGACCTGAATTAACCAGTGCAGTTTTTCCTAACATAGCCACTTAAATGGCCCCCGTAGTGGTGTGAACTGTCTTCTTTGAACTCCTAGCCACTGGCACCTGTGAATGTGACCTCGTTTGGAAATGGGGCTTCTGCAAATGTGATTAACTTTAGGATTTCTCAAGGAGAGAGCATCCTGAATTTAGGGTACATCCTGCACTCAAAGATGAAGTCATTTCAAGTCAAAGAGAAGAGACACTTGAGGCACAGACACAGAGGGCACGGCCACGTGGAGATAGATGCAGAGGTGTACCGACACATCCATCCACAAAGGACAAAACACCAAGAAAAGTCACAGGAACCTGAAGCTAGGACAAGGGCATGGCATGGACTCACGTCTAGAGCCTCAAAAAGGAAAGAACTCTGGTGCATCATGGCTTGACTTGAGACAATCCTTTCGTCATGTTAATTGAAAACACATGGCTATACTTTTTATGGCAGTGACAAGCAACTGGCACACATGGTAAGGTAGTGGCGTCCATAAGCCCGGCTCAGCTCTTTACTGTGGAATCAGCAATCCCTCGCATCTTTATGAAGATGGGGCTCTTTGAAAGGACCCTGAAGGATGCATGGCTCCAATGCTTCCTAAAATCATTTTTAAGGAATTATGTTCACACTTTATTCTGATACATGAACTGCTTAACATTTCTGTGATTTTTTTTCACACCTTCAAGAGCCATTGTATGTGTTTTGATTCTTGGTTTCAAGAACGGCAACATGGATCCCTGGGCATATGCGACTGCGCCTTTTTTTTTATCTCTGCATTCTATAAGAGGTTAGAAGAGGAGCAGAGTTGCATCTTGCTATTGTGAGGCTATGACATGAAGGGCCAACGTAGTGCCTAGGACCCTGGGAGAGAAGACTTGCTCATGGGAATTCAATCGTTTCAGAAATGTGCTCATTCTTTCCTTCCAGGAATGACGTTTTCTTATTCTTTATTTTCTTTCCTAATCTATAACCTCTTACATTACATTCAATCTAAACTGACTGCTTAAATAATTATGATAGAGCTTTTATTCCTGGTGTGTGGCTGCATGGACAGATTCTCACGTGGGAAGGAGTGACAGACCCTTGTTTGAGTCCTGGATTTGCCATTTATTGGGTATTGATTCTAGGCAAGTCACTTCACTTCCTATCTTGGTTTTCTCAACTGCAATTGAAGAGCAACGCGACTGACTTCATTGACTTTTTAGCAGGATCAGATTGAAGCATCTATAAAAAAATTAAAACCAATAAAGTTTTTGATAAAAGAAGAGGAGGTTCTATATAGAGAAATGGTTCCAGCGCTTGCTGTCAAGCCAACACTCTCAATGTTCTTATGGTCACTTTAAGAGAAAGTTATTTGTAAGCACGAGGAAGCACTCTACGTATGAATAACCTTCATATTCGGTATCAGATACCAAAGCTTCTATTTATGTCATCTTGAACCTCTGTAAAATAGTTCTATATAAATCTGAGCTTTAATTAGTGTGGTGGGAATTAAAAAGGAGTATTCAAGACTCTGGAAGCTCGGTTTCCTTTTCCTGTGATGCCTTTTGTAGGCACTGCCTACACTTACTCTTTAATGCTATTGTAGTGGTGAGCTTTTAATTACAAAAGAGAAGGTGTTTCAATGGACATTCCGAGTGGAGTAACGTGATTTATATAGGTTCTAGGGTAGTCGCTTCCCAGCCTACCAGTTAGGGTCTTGGAATGCTGATCAGCATGTGTTTCCAGAAATATCCAAGTTGCAAATAGATAGAGCCCTTTGCTACACCTTTCCAGGGAACTCATCTGGGTTTGCATGGTGCAATGTCAACAGACATCAACTGTGCATCTTGGGAGGAAAAATGAAAGAAACAGGAAAAATACCTCTATCTGCATGGAGAACAATACACCTTGAGTAAACTGAAGCCTGAGCTCACAAGCAAGGCGCTGGGGCAGCTCTGATCTTCCCTAGTAAAATAACATATGGACGGAAAGTTTGCTTTTGTGCTTGGAGGAATGACTGTGTCTGTCTGTTTGGAGCGTAAGTATGTTGGGATGCCTGTGTGTTCATGGTTTGGGTTGTGTGTGTGTGTGCACAAGCTTGTTAATGTGTGTGTTGTGGTAAGGAGCACAACAGAGCCTGGGGTGCCGGATTGTTTTATCCCCCAAAGAAACGATGAGGAGCTCATGAAGGTGTGATATGAGCAGCAATATAACTAAAGTATAACTATAACATCAGTTCGTGTGGGTGGGTCCTGGAAAGGTGATGCTGTGGATATTGTTAGTGAAGGCAATAGAGGCAGTGTTGTGCATGAACAGATGGAGGTGTGGACACATGCTCTTGGACTCAGTTGAGTTTTTCGAGTCCATCAAGGATCATGAAAATTTTTGTTGTTACTGCTGTTGTGATCATTGGGCAAGTCAGTTGCCCAAGTGTATGTCTGAGCTCACTTTTTACATCTCAGTGACATTGGAAAGTTTCTTATCAAGCAATTGTGAAACAGCATACGTCTGAGAACAAAGCTAATCAATTTAAGTGCAAAGTCTTTCGATATTTAGTCACAGAGGAAATTGGAGGAAATAATAATACGTGGCTTTAAAGTAAGCATTTTAGCTACCAGGATGAAGTATTTCTGATATTTAACTACGCATGGTATGCCTGTTCCAAATCAACTGCTGATAAGTAGGATTTCCTCTGGATTCTAATTGCAAACAATCCGTATATTCAGCTTACTTAATGAACCATGCTTTAAGGACACTGTGTGTATGTGTGTGTGTGTGTGTGTGTGTGTGTGTGTGATTCATGTGTATGGTCTTGATTTTTGAAATAAAATGAAACATTTAACGTAGTAGTGAAATTAACATGGTAACTGGAAGCATCCTTGTCACAGGGAAACATTCTGAGAAACAAACTGATGTGTGTTGATCACCAAATCCCACTTTTCTACATTCTATGTACATTTCTGTTACTTATCAACAGAGTTTAAATTTAGCATACCGACATGAAGAAAGTCAAATGTATGTGAATTTCAGTTCTTAAATCTGAGCAAAGTGTAAAATGAAAAGTGCATGTAAAATCTTGATAAATTAGATATGTCCTAAGATACTTTAACAAACCAGTATGTTTTCTCTAAGCTAGAGACTTAGCATTCCATTCTGTGGTTAAAAGAGGCAATTTTGGGAGGGAAAATTGATTTATGGGAAGAAATCACTTGACATATTTAAATGTGATAAACTTCTAATGTTTTTCTTTTCTTAGTCAATGTAGTAGTATTTGTATCATTCCTCAGAATATCACATTAAATATCAATTAAAATAATGAACTCAATCATAAAGAGAAAAACAGCAAGAGTTCAAGTATTATTTCATGAATTTTAAAAAACAGTAATTTTCCATATCCTAAGTCCAGGGGAATTATCTTGAATGACCTACTTGACCATTTCCTAAGCATTATCACATTCTATAATTCTATACCTCTTCAGAGATAAGTAGGGAAAAAATGCCCATGTCAGATATTTCTACAGAGTGCAGATACATAATTTTATAAAATAAAAGGCACACCGAATTACACAAGTTTTAATGGAGAATTTTTTTAAAAGATTTATTTTATTATTA